GGTTTCTCTAATTGGAGGTTCTCTAATTATTTATAGCCTCTCCTTCTGCCAGGAGTTCTATTAAAATTCTACAGCTGAAAAGAGATGTTAGCAAAAATTGAGTGAGGTAAGCAAAAATTATTAGAGACATAAGTGAATTGATTAAATCATAATAGAAGATACTGGATGAGTCAGCAGGTGACAAGGTGGTTTAGGTGCCGAACTCCCACATGACTGACTGTGGTGTGAGTATTGAACAAGGTGTTTTCCTTTTCGTCAGTGTCGGTCTTCTCAACTGTTCTTACCACTGAAGCTCTTGGCTGTTGAATATCCAATACCTTGCAATCTGTAGTCAGACTTCACTCTCACCAATTCCTTGAAGTTGTAATAAACAAGCCTGAAGTTCTAATATTTTTATTTCACATTCTATTCTGAACAGTATAATAGGGGTGTGACAATATAAAATAACAATAAAGCATAATAATAATGAAAATAATAGCAAGAGTAATAGCACTGGAAAAAACCACTTTGAACAGCGGAAATGTAGTTAAAAGTCAAAACTATAAGTGGTTGAGGAAGCCAAGGGAGAGGAAAGGTTGAAGGGATTGCTACTCAGTGGCAAATGAAACAGCACATTAGAGCAAAATGAGCTGGGTCTGAATCTCTGCTTTTAACTCCATACTAGCTGTATGGCCTTGGGCAAGTTATGTCACATAACTAACGCCATAGTTTTATTATGTGTGCAATGGAGACCATATCAGTAACCACTTTGTTGGAATATAAAGAAAAGAAAATGGTATTTTGTGAGGATTCAACTGCCTAAAATGACTACCAGAACATAGTACCTGGAAAATGCTAAATAAATAAATAAATAACAAAAACCTCTTAAGTTCCACAATAGAAATAATATGAATATTAAAATGTGTCATGTGGATTAAAAAGTCCATACTATTGAGAACTATCACTGTTACCAACTATCACTGTTACCAACTAGATTGTGCTGGAAAAATAGCTAAGCAAGAATTTTAATACCAATAACTGTTCTCTTTGTCATTCTTTCTTTTTTAAATCTAGTAGAATGACTTTCAGCACAACTAAACAGTACAGCTGGATTTTTAGTTTTTTTCTTTGAGCTCTGGGTCCAGAAATAAACTTTAGATTTTTATATTTAGAAGAGAACCTGAATCCAAGTTAGTTTTAATGTAATCTATGTACATGGTGAGTTCAGAGGGATGAAATGTTTCAGTTGAGGTTCCCACAGTTGGTGATAGAACTGAGCCTAGGATTTTTTTTGTTCCCTTTTTAAAATTATCCTTTTGAAGACCAGAAGGTGGCATGGTGGCTAAGGCACTGGACATTCCCATGGTTCAAATCTTGGATCTGGTGGCTTGCTTTCTTCTCTTTTTTTTTTTTTTTTTTTTTTTTAGTG